GCTTGGAGACTTGGAGACGAGCGCTACGTGCTTAGCTCTTCATCCTGGACCTCGTCCGCTACAAGCTATAGCCTACCTCGGACATCAATGAGGGCACCTTCAACTCCGGCACCAGGAACTCCTTTTTCCTGGAAAACCTGTGCCAGGCACACCGGCGCCAGGTACACCTTTGCCTACGCCAACGCCAAGGACATCTGCTGCCGCTTCCACGCCCTACGTGGACATGCAGCGTGACCCTGAGGCAGGGCGACCTCTTCTCAAAGAAGCAGCTGGACGTCTCGAGAACAAAGTCGCTCACAGCGCTGAGATCAAGCCTGGCGCTTTCCTGGTACAGGTCAAGGCCCTGGCATTTGGTCTACGTCCAGATCTACCGGACGCCAAAGACACGAAGGATGTCGACACGACGTGCCTTGGAAGTGCCAGACATCACACACAGGGCAGCAGCTCTCCTGTTCCCGGACAACAGCATTGAGTTGGAAAGCGAAGCCTTGGAGGACGTCACCAACCCTCACTCTCGCTTCGACCGGAGCGTGCGTGTTGGACTCTTCATGTACGGGCGACCTGTTCTACTTGATTCAGCTGCCCAACGCAAAGCAGTTCGTGAAGCGGCAACTCCAAAACCTGAAGTTGAACCTGAGTTGACTTTGGCGCCCACAGATCCTGGCTACAACGACATCGCCTTCCCTGGTTTGACGGATGACGCTGTTCCACAATGGGTGAGAGGCGCGCTCAAGCGCCTACATTCCGACTTGGGTCACCCAGGCAATGCCGCTTGAGAATACTGGCACAAGCTCAAGCGAGCCCTGCAGCTATGGTTGGAGCTCGTGCACTTCGTTGTGGCGTATGTGAACGAGCCAAACCTCCTCGCGAACCACGACCTGCTAAGGCACCAGTGGCAACAAAGCGCTTCAATCAGCGACTCATGTTGGACCTCCACTTTGTGCCAAGGACTCCACTGGTACCACGTTTTGCTTTCTCAACCAGCTCGACGATGCCACAACCTACCATAGAGTTTGTCTCTTGTTGATGATCGCACTCCAGCCACCATCGCGAAGGCCTTGATTACTGGTTGGTTTCAACACTTTGGCCTTCCTGAATCCCTTTTGGTCGACGCTGAGGGTGCGATGAGAGCTTTCTCATTCGACAGCGATGGCCCAGAGCAACATCATGGTTCGTTTCGTACCACCTGAGGCACACTACCAGTTGAGCAAGTGTGAACGCCATGGTGACATCGCCAGGTTCATTTTGAAGAAGCTTGTCGACCAGCGCGGCATCGTTGGAGCTGACGCAATGGCAACTGGGGCAGTGATGGCGTGTCGCGCCAAGAACACTCTGGCACGCAGAGCAGGCAGTTCACCTTCACAATGGGTGTTTGGTGACGCTCAGTACTAAGCTCCAGGAGATCGAGAACCTTCGCTTTGACGCCATGAAGGCATTCCTCGAGTTCGAGAACAGTGACTCCCTTCGCCGGGCTTTGTTGCGGAAGAGTCGACCCTGTCGAGGACCCTATGAGATCGGACAACGTGTGGTCTACTTCCGACTGAGGAATCCACTTGACGGTGAAGGTTCACAGCCAGGCTACAGACAAGGAGGAACGATCGTGGCAGAGTTGTTCAGGTCGCGCGGGAGCAACTTCGTATTCTTCAAGGTGAAGAAGCTTGGATCCCTGATCATTCCGACTTCGCGATTATCAGATCAGCTGAGGAAGACCTGGCCAAGAAGCACGCTGGCAGTCATGACCTTCGACAGGCTTTACCTCCTGTTCCCGAAGAACCTCGAGAGCCAGCGCTGCCTGAAGGAGGAGGAGGACTTCTTGCTCTACCAGCTCCGGCTGAACTACCAGAAGTACAAGTCCCAAAACCTGTACCTCTCCAACTACCTGAACCACCGCCGCTGGCACCAGCATCGGCGCCTTCAGTGATTGTCGATGGACCTTTGGACTCTGAGGGGCAACCTTTGGACGAGCCCATGACAACTCCGTCTTTGCCTGGTGGACTTCTTGCACCACCTTCACCAAGGGGTACACCAGCAACATCCAGGAGGTCTTCTACGGCATCACTCCCTGAAGTGCGGGCAAAGACTTCAGCAGCACCATCGGTGTCAGCGGGATCAGATGCACCGAACTTGCCTGCCGGATTTTCGCGGCAGACTTCAGTTCAGACACGCCAGACATCAGCTGGCTTGGATCAACTACCACCAGTTCCAGAGGAAGCTGGTGAACTTTCTGATGCAGTGGCTCCTAAAGATGGCCCCTGGACCAGAGAGCTCAATGCATGTAGTTTCACACACTGGCACCGACTACGAGGCCTACTACATCCACGCCAAGTCCTACTGTGCCTATTGTGGCTGTCAGGACAAGCAGCTTGAAGCTAACCGACCACAATGTAGTCGATGCCTCTGTTTTGAATTCACTGACAGGCCTGAGACCGTCCAGAACTGGTTCGACGAAGACTTGGAGTATGATGCTCGCACCAAGGGTTGGCGACCAAGCTCATCTGGCGACGTCCTGCCGAACCAGACCAAACTGGACGAAGCCTGGAACACCACTACGTGGAGAGATGACGAGGTTCATCGCCTCGACTCCGACTCCATGCCTGAGAACACTATATCCAGTCACTCGTCAAGAGCATTGCTGGATGGTCAGCGACGAATGAAAGCTGGTCATGGTTGACCTTTGAGCAACTATGAGATCGACGACCTCGAGGGCACTTCCTTCGACAAGAAGATCGTGATCTACCACGCCAGCACTCAGAAGAAGAAAAGACGGCCAAGTCCAAGAGCTCTTCGTCGACACCGAGCTCGTTACACCAAGTACAAGCCAGAACAAGTTTGGCTGGTGAGACACGGACGAGATGACGCTTTCGTCTGTGGATGGGATGGCAGCCCATCTGAATTCCAATCACTTTTTCAAGGTCAACAGCATTTTGCTTTTGCAGCGCACCTCACGGAGTGGCAAGAAGCTTTGGCATCACCAAAATCTACCAGCTCCAGCATTCCTTCTTTTGAGGTCTTTGTTTCAAGCAACGACAACTTCAGACAGCTGCCCTCGACCTCAGACGAGGAGGACGCTGGTTTGAAAAGAACCCAGCGACAGGCCCTCAAGCGAGAGATTCCCTGGAAGAGCGTCAGCCGAGCTGACTTCGATGGAGATGAGAGCACCATTCCACGGCGCCTCATCTAACCAGCTCGTGTATGCTATCGCTGGAAGCCTTTGGACGGAGGATCACCCTACAAGGCAAAGGCACGCATTGTTGTGCAAGGATTTCATGACCCTCACCTTCCTCTACTTGCGCGTGATGCTCCTGTTTTGTCCCGTTGTGGCCAGTGGAGCTGCAACAACAACTGCCGGATCGCCAATGGCGATTGCAAATCAGCCTTCCTTCAAGGAAAGCCAGATCATGAGAGACCCTGCCAGATCTACATGAGACGCCCGCAAGATCAGATCGCCCTGGATGCAGTTGAGGAGTGGAAATAAAAATCGCAACAGCTCTATGTGCTGCATGCCCCGGTTTATGGACAAGCCAATGCACCGAGGCAATGGTTCTTGCAATGTTTGTGATGTGGTGACCAACCTCTCCTGGCAGCAGCGTTCACTGGACCCTTGCATCTTCATCAAGCGCAACGGCGACATACCAGTTGCAGTGCTGGGCATCCACGTGGACGACGTCCGGCAGCAGAGCTGGAACCAGGTCACTTGACTGAGGTTGAAGCCTCCTTCAGCTGGGGAGGACCATGGGATGGCCGAATCACCCTCAGCCAAGACCACTATGCTCAGGACGTCATCATCACCAAGGTGACTTTGTCTCAGTTTGGCAGCCTTGAATGGATGGCAGGCGCTACACGGCCTGACATAGCAGCCGACGTGTCGCTGCTCCAAAAGTCCATGGACGAGCTCAAGCACCAGGGCCTCATTGAGGCCAAGGCGGTTTTGAAGTATGTGAAAGCAACAGCCAGCAGCTTCATTGTCATGAAGCCCGTGGACACCGAGAAGATGGTGATTGTCACCTTCGGCGACGCAGCTTTCGCCAATGCCCCAAGCAACAAGTCACAGGGTGGCTATGTGACGGTCGCCTGTACAGAGGATTCCCTACAAGGAGAAGGAGACGCTTCCCTTTTGGACTGGAAGAGCTACTGGCACCAGAGAGTGCTGAGAAGCACGCTCGCAGCAGAGGCAGCGAGCCTTGACAGAGCAGAGGACGGCGCCAACTTTGTGAGCGCTTTCACGGGGGAACTCTTCCTCCCTGGCTATGTGGCCTCGCGCTCGGGGAAGAGCCTTTTCCCGATTTGGCCGGTGACCCATGCCAGGTCACTCTACGATGCCATCCACAGGTTGGCAACCTCCTTCGCGGAGAAGAGGGTGGAGATCGACATAGCAGCCCTTCGGCAATGCTGTAGGAGCTTGAGGTGGGTCCCCACCGAGGTGATGCTAGCAGACGGCTTCACCAAGCGCAGCCGCGCCCTTCGAGACAAGCTTCGTCGATGGCAAGAAGATCCGAAGATCAGCCTGACCGAGGCCAGAGATGCACACGATGAGGATGTGCAAGGACCGTGGCGTTCACAGGCATAAGAAAGTAAAACCAGTGCGAATGTCGAGTTTCATGTCACTCATGTTGCCATGTGAACGCCGGCCGTCAACCTTTTGACTCAACTCCACCAGAGGGTGGGACACTTGTGCACTCGACACACGACCTGCGTCTTCGTCGCGACTCCATGGAAAAGAGGTGAGCCGTCAGAGCACGCACGGCTTGAGATCCAGGGACCTCCAGGCTCCACAGACCTGGTAATTGCAAACATATATCATCACATATTATCCTTTTGCGTTGCAATGACTGCAATGAGTCCACTTTAAATGTATTGATGATGACAATGCTGATGCTAGTGGTTCTTGTTGCTGTGACACTGGTGATAAGGTATTAGGAGATTACATTGCACTCTATGTAGATTCCTTTTGCTTGCTTGTTTGCCAACCTGCGGATCTCGGTGGTGTGACACCACACCAGGCAGAATCAGTTCATGCTGCCGTTGCACAAAGGAGGCGGATGGGCAGCAGAATTACTGTACAAGATACAGTATTGTCAGTATTCACGAATGACGGTGTCAACTGGAAGTTACACTAGACGAAAAGTCTGAGTATTACACGTCAGCGTTGCTGCACTTAAAACGTTCTGGACTTTGGAGCAACACGGATGATAGACAAGTTAAGTGCAAACGAAGTATCAATGTTCTCACTGCTGAAGCAGCCACTGAAATCATCATGCTGCCAGCTTCACAGAAACCTGCGAAGTGGTGAGTTGAGTATCCCAAAACATCACCAGGTGATCCGACTGGCTTCTTGAGCTTTCATTGGCGAGAGGCTCCGAGCCGACAGGCGGGACGCAGTTGTCCGGGAAGTAGTGCGGGCAACAGCGGACGACAGTGCTAGGGAACTTCAGCAAATAGGCCGGGCCGACAGCCGCTTCTGTGAATCTGTGTCTCTTCTGTGTGACGTGTGGCGGAGGCCCCTGGTCGACCTTCGTCTCTGGGATGCAATTGTCAATAGTTGATATTTGAAATACATACCTTTTGTTTTTTTTTGTTTGTTACCTAACATTGCAGTGGTTTTGCACCAGTCACCACTTATTCTTCCTTGTAAAAACAAATCCTCAGGCTGCGCAAATCAAGCAGGGCAGCAGGGTTTGTTTGCCTGTGAGCAATACTAAATTGAAATCCTTGAGGCCTGAGCGGCCTGGGGAGCGGCCTGAGCGGCCCTATGGCCATTTGGCTGAATCATTGGGTAGTCTTTGTTCAGAGCCGCCGATTTGGCGGAATTCATAAAATCGAATTAGGTTGCTACAGACTGAGACATCCAATAACTAATCACAATAAATCACATTCATTTCCAGTTGAGACTGCTTTCTTTGATGACCTCCCACTGGGGTAGGTCAACCATTGCCTGCAGCGCCTTATCCCCACCCTGGGCAACCTATGGGTGATCCTGCTGGGTATCCCGCTAGACATCCGGCTGTGGCTCCTGCGCAGCAGAATGCTTCCTATGGCATGCCTTCAGCGAGCCCACAAGCGCCGCCTTCGCAGCCTCCGGAAGCAGCAAAGACTCAGTCCCGGGCCCAGTGGGTTTCTCATATCTTGGCAGATCTCACGTAGCTTCTGAGAAGGTATGTGGATCCCAAGAGGCCTAGCTGCCAGAGTTCTCATTTACTCTCTTTCCTCCAGAGATCTTTAGAAACCACCAAGGTATACCAAGGTTTTTCACAAACAGTTTTTTTGATCCAATCTCCCAGTGTATGACCATTTAGTGTTTTTTTTTTGCTGCCTGTGACAGGCACAGGGAGGTAGAGGGCGGCCCACGTGCAAGGCGGCTGGGTGGAGTCTACAGCTCGAGAAGGAAAGTGGCTGCTGCAGGTTTCTTTTGTTGATAAGATGTCCAACCATTTGGACGGTTCTCCACCCATAGCAGATGTAGCAGAGGATTTCATTCGGTGTCTTTCAGTTGACGCTATCACAAGATTAGAAGAGAGGATTGATGAATGGGGGCTGTTGGTCCGTTGGTCGAGTGTTTCATTGCAGAAGCATGCCGGGCGACAGGTGTGTCAAGGCCCTCCTTTTGTCTTCTGCACAGAAAAGTCAGTGCATTTTCCTACAGCAAATACGAACAACAACTGCAGTTTGTTGGGATTATATACGTAAGTGTTTGAAGTTGCCGACGTTTTGCATTTTACAGTTTTCTTTCGCACTTTTTCAAACGGAAGCTTGACAAGCCACCAGGCTGGGCCTTAGTGAGAGAGGCCGTTTGGAGGCCAACCGCCTCATGAGCAGTGCAGGGCCCCAGCGGAGCGAGCGTTGGACCGGTAGGTACATTCAGGCAGTCACACACACCAAAAGGGCAGATGCTTGGAGTTTACATGCACTTTGGAGTTGCTTGTCAGGAGGCCTGGTTCATGTTCAGATGTTAAAATCCCGCCCACCTCCCCGGTAAAAGTGTGGCTGGCGCTACAAAATATCGCCCTAGTGGGTGGTTTAAGTGAACCGAGTAGGCCTGCTTTACTGCAGGCTACCCAGCAGTTGTGTTGCCCACAAGCGCCTTGCAGGGTTTGGGTTCCTTCCTAGCAGGCTGACCTGTACAGGTTGTGATGCTTTCAGCTAGGGCGGAAGCACAAAATCCGAAAGAGTATGAAAGTGTCACTTAAAAGCCATCAAGACATCAAGGAGGTTTCAAGACTGCGAGGGAGACTTAGTGACTTAGTTTTGTTTAGCCTATTTGCTCTTTAACATGCAAGGGGGGCTGGTGAGTCTCATTATTTACTGTAATCTCGTCGGGTTGACAAACCAAGATGGGAGTGGATTGCTAGTAGGTTGGAGGTCATCGCTAGCAGGTTGGAGGCCATGGCCTGGCTAGTACATGCAAAGCCAAGAGTGATGCTTGAGTTCGAATTTCTGAGGCAAGGACTCACTTCGCTTTGCGGCGCTGAGGTGGGCAAATGTTGGGGTAATTGAGTCGTCCATTGTGCCATTTGCCCTCTACTTAGCGGACACGATCCAAGTGCAGGATGTGTTTCTCATGGTTTGGGTCTATGCATTGGTGCAAGCTTCGCTGAGCGTGATATCCTTGCTGATTGCCGCATCCGGGCAAAACATCCCCCTAGAGATTGCAGTAGGCCTTTCAACCGTCCTGAGATGCTGGGGCGCGCCCAGTCCTGACCTGAGACAGATGAACCTTAATAGAACAGCCCCAATACCCGTGAAGAGGCTTGCACAAGAGTGTGATGCCCATGATGCACAAAAGGTTTTGTTTACTCCGGATTTTTTTTCTAGAGTTTGAAGCTAAAGATTCGCTCAGCAAAATTAAAGGCAATCTGCCAAAGTACGTGTTTTGAAAGGCATTTGTCAAGGGTTCTTCATGTTCTGACACCTCATTTCTCTCCTTTCCATGCAGGGCTCTTCTGAACTTGCTTTTGTAGATTGTATTTTTATTGGCCTTTTTTTCTCCGACTCCATGTTCTTTTCCTCTCCTTTCAACCTTTTCCCTTTCGACACTTGCAAGTTCGCTCTGATTCTAATCTTGAGAGAACACCTGCACAGATTCCCATTGGCCACAAGCATTGTCAGACTCGGGAGCCAAAAGCTTCTCAGATACCAAAAAGGTAGAGACCCCACTAGTTGTGTCAAACCCAGGTTGACTTTTGCCGAATTTAAAGAGGCCTTCTTGAAGCTTCAAGAGGAGACTGTGCTGCAGACCTCTTTATACCCAGTATGTAGACAACACTTTCTCAGTCTTTTGGAATCATGTCTCCTGATAGTTCTAGCTGAATGGCAGGAGTTGGAGGTTGTGGACAAGCCGAATGACGATGCCATGAGGCCCTTTTTGCTGCAGGATTGCCATTAGCTTTGCACCTTCTTGGGGTGCAATTCAAGAGGTGAGTCATTACGAAAGAAGACACACTATAGGTCTCTATAGGTGAGTGACTCACCAGTTTACAGGAGCAGGATTCAGCAAATGCCTGGTTGAAAGCATCGACCACGTGCCAGGAAGCTATTTCAGAAACATAGCAGTGGCCAGCCTGACCCGAAAACAGGCACAGGGAGTGCTGCTTTTGTGTTGATGCGGAGAAGGACCCTTGGATGATGTCAGGTGCGTGATCGGTTACGTGATTTCCGAAACAAAGAGAGTTCAGTCAGCGTGGGTTGCTTTCAAGAGAGACATGCCTTGGACTCATATTAGACTGCCCCTTTGCCTTTGCAGACAGCAGACATGTGTAGCAATTGTATTGAAAAGACTGTTCAGGGTGTTCTGATGGGCTGTTGCGCCAGGTTTGGTTGGACTTGGACTCAGAGTGAAGCTTTGCACAGCACGGGATGTGGCCCTGCTTTGCACGATGGTCTTTGCATTGTTGAACGTCACACTTCTAAAGGTTTGGATAGCAAGCTGCCCCCACTGAGGCCTGGGAAGAGAGGAGTATGAAGCAGGACACCCGGATCTCTCAAAGCGATTTGAAGGGCTTTTGTTCGGTGTTTGGAGGCTGTTGTCGCAAGAAGGTGCAGTTGTCAGATACTTGCTGTTTAGCTTCTCGGTGACTTCCCAGCACCTTCCCTGAAGCAAAGTGACACTTGAGGCTTTACTCTTCCGCATGCTTACGTTTATGCTTGCGAGTGGGGAGGCGGGCAAGAGAAGCTGCAGACGCAAGTTCTTGGGTTCGATTCAACATATGCATACATACCGTAGTTTCACAAGTGGTGCAATAAATACTTTTTGTTGATATCCTTGCTGGAGCTTAACATCAGGATAACATCATTAATCATGCCTGCATGAGAGCCAGCGTGATACTACCTTTGCAACAGTTTGAATGGAAAGAACACGTAGTACTTTGAGGGAACACAGCCGATTTATGGAAGAAGAGCAGACATGGGATTCTTAGTTTGCATCTTGTCCTGCACAAAGGTGGAGGTGGAGTCACATAGCCCCAAGGCAGGTGGCGGGTTGGCCTTGGCGCTTCTTGTAGGGCCAATGTAGGGCTTCTTGTAGTATATACACATTGGTGACACTATTCAAGTTGTTGGATCAGGCTGGTGAGGAGCGAGACAAGAGGTGGCGAGAGGAGTTCTTGAAGAAGAACTCGCAGAGGTAGAGAAGGGGAAGTCAAATGCAGAAGGTTCCTTCCTACGTGAGGTTCCATGTCCTGTATGGTGTTCGGTGACATTCATCAACGGATTGCTCCTAAAGAAAGCCCTGCGAAAGTAATTGATAAGTTTGATTCAGCATACAGCATAAGACGTCTTTCATAAACTTCTGAAGTCTTCCATTAGTTTGAACACAACAGATCCTCGAAGGTTCCAGGAGGTCTACCTGAAAGGTCGGAAGCTGGGCGAGGGAAGCTTTGGGGTGTGGGGGCTCGGTTTGGCACGTTCACATCGTTCGTTCAACGTTTGTGATTCTTGTGAAGGCAAACGGATTGTGCCGAAGATGACTTTGTCCAGCATTTCACCTCTCACCTGTCTTTCACCTTTGCTTGCAAAAAGCTTCTTCTGTGTTTTTCCTTTGTCCGTGCTAACAGACGACTCTAGCAGTTGCATCCCAACTGAGGCGGTCTACGAAGTAGCACATCGTTCTAATGAAACCAGCATTCGTGTTTGCAAGGCCCATTCGATGTGTAGATGTTTGACATTGAACATAAATCTTGCAGAAGGAAGTGCAGAATAGCATGGTTCATGGGCGTTTCCCTTTGTCAAGCTGTGACTTCATTTTTGCCGGCTTTTGATGGCTTGCTTGCAGGTAATCCAGAAATCCAGTGCTGACAAGGAGCGCGGTTGCATTGGAAATGACTGCCATGATGTTGATCTCCAGGTAGACTTGCAATCTCACTGTAAATGAGGCATACGCTTGGCTTGACTTGTTGGCGTGCAGGCCAAGACCTCTCATCAGCGCGTGCGGGAAGAGTTTGCTGTCCAACGCTCAATGGCAAAGATCAAAGGAAGCTGGTGGCAGCTTTGCCTTCCCCATTATCATGCAGCACTTGATTTTGGCCGATTATTTCTTGTTTAATTCTGTGGTTATGGGGTCGAGTGGTCCTGCACGTCGGACCTTTTTCTTGAGCCAAACATCGAGTTCAAAGGTACACTTCTTGATCTGTGCACTCTTCGAAACGAAATGAACGGGTGAGTGGACATCCACACTCCCCCTAGCTTCTCTGAAGCCATTCCCTTTCTGGGGATTCCCCAGGTTTTTTCGTCTGTGTTCACCCACCAAAATGCTCAAAGCTCCCATCGGAGTCAGTTGAATCCTCTCGAACCCTTGAGGTTCCAGAAAAACCGCGTAGCGGCTCCCAAGGGCCTACCGACTGGGGCCTCACCGGTGCCTGCGTGGAGATTCCCATCCAAGCTGGTACTTCATCAGGATCAGGAGGTTCCTCCACAGGCAGAAGAGGATGGTCAGGTCCTTGATACTCCTCTGGTCGGTGTGGTGCCAGGTTGTTCCTGACCACCCGCCATCCATCGCTCACCATATCATACAGCGAGCGACGCCAATCTGCTCTCTCACCCTCTCCAGTCATGTCCTCCAGGACAATCCTCCAATCCTCTCTCTCCTCTTCACTGAAGGTCGAGCCATCGTGTCCTCGGCCATCCTGGGACCAGTAAGTGGCTGGATCATACCCCTGATCATCGCCCATGTACCCAGAGCTTCCGGGCTGGCTCCAGGTTGACAAGTCTCGTACTTCCCCTCAACCTGGAGGCCATGCAACCGGCCTTCGTAGCCTAAGCGCGCGTCTCGCTCCATGGCATCCCGTCCCCTCACCCTCGAGCTCCAGCTCGATGAACTCTCCATTCGGAAGTCGGACCTTGTCTCACATAATAGCGCGCATCCCGAAGCAGCTCGGGGCAGTGGATTCCTCCACTGCGCTAATGGCGCTTCTCTTGGTCGCTCCTCACTCGGCTGCTCCGCAATGCCCGGCATTGGCGGGGGTCCCGAGGTCAGCGAGCTGCTCATAGACGACGAAGTTCTATCCCCTTGTCCTTTGGCAGTAGACGAGCTTGAGGTGGGAGTGAGTGTTCCGGGACAGGCTCTGGCGTCATCGTCCGCCAATCATCATCCCGGATCATCCGCTCTCCATGGCTCCAGATCACTGTGATTCTTCGATCTTGCGCACGACTACAATGAAATGGTGTCTGCCGGTGCACCGGATGGAAAGGCCCCGCGGTCGAACCGTCAGGCAATCGGTCCCAACGATCTCGACCCTGAGATGTGGAAGAGTGAAACGCTTCCATGTCCAAGGCAGTCCATCATCTCTAGCCGGCCTAGACGTCGACGCCATTGCTGGCCCCGGAGCCTTCATCATGGCCAGCCGGGGCCTCTTTCCACCATGGCTGACTTCTACCGCAAAATCCCGGGAGCCCTCGCGAGGGGCTCGAAAATAGGCTCATCCTCAGAGCCATCACTCGAATTGCAGGTGGGTTCATCTTCCCTCGCCTGATCTTGATGTCCATACGGTGGATCTCCATACTCTGATCTTGATGGCCCAGTGGCTCTCTTTCGTGAATCACAGCCGGGCTTAGGTGGCCAGAACCATCGCTGCTACCGCTAAACCCTGAGCTGCCTTGCCAGTGGGACCTGACGGCCGCCAGGTCATCACACCAGCCAACTCCTACCAAAGCTGCGATCCTGGCCACTGGACCCTAAGCGCTCAGAGGCTGCTTCCACCACTGGCTTCATGCACATCGCCGCGAAGAAGTGCTGCCATCGAGCAGCCACTCCAACCGGCTTCGTCAAGAAGTCTCTCCATGCGCCCCACTTGACCCTTTCCCTCACACGTGTGCCTTGAGCCGAAGATGTCCGGTTTTCAGGGCAGCTTCCAGGATGCGCAACCAACCAAATTGTCGCCTCCCAGTCCGTTCGCCAACCACTGCCCCTCCAGCACGTTGGTCAGGGCAGTCAGCGAGTCGCCCACAGTCATAGCCTCCGTGTAGCCTAGCAACTCCGCCTCCGCTCGACAAAGTACAAAAGGCTTGCTGGCGTGGCTCCTACTGTACAGGCTGTCCTCCATAGGTTCCAACCACTCCCTGCATGGTGTCCAGGTACCACTGATCGAGGCTTCCCACAATGCAAGGTCCAGCTGAGAGTGGCCTTCAGATAACCCAGCGTCTGTTTCACTCGGGAAGGACACTTCGTGACATTTCTTCCCATCCAAGCCACACCATACGCTAAGTCAGGACGGTCTACTCCTCACCGAAACCTATAGAAGCTCCCCCACGAGCCCTTGAGCCCTTCTAACTTGGTCGAAAGTGACCTCAGGGTCATTCTCCCCATTGGGCATCCCAGGAAATGGCACCGTGGCCAGGGTGAGCTCCAACTTGGTCCATTCCCTCACTTCCTGGTTTTCACGCCTTCAGTAAGGATGTGGCCTCCGAAATGCCGTTCATGCTTCACCTTCTCCCCTCCACCAGATGCCGGCTTGGTAGGCAAGGGCGTCGTGCTCGTCGAGGATGTAGTTCCCAGCTTCGGCCCGCTTGCCTCATCCTTCTCCACATTGGCGCCCTTGACCTTCGCCGTCTTCCTGGTCTCCTTCGTGGGCGACCTCCTTCCTGTAGGGACGCTCGCGAGACATGTGTCCCTGTCCAGAACAGATGAAGCACCGACCGGTCTTTTCCAACTGGTCTCAAGAATGTGTATAGGTGCAAGTGTCTGCCCTCTTACACCCAGCCCAACTTGCTTGGAGCCTTCTTGTCCTTCTCCTCCCCCGCAGCTGCTGAAACCATGGCCTTCACTACTTCACCACTGGAGCCACTGGAGCGCCAATCAAGGTTTGATGAAGACCTGGCTGATGGTCTACCCTTAACTCTTGACGAACACTGGAGATTTGGTATGACGCTTGATGCCCTCCAATCTTGATCAAGCCCTCCGAAGCCTTCCCCAGCACTGACATCAACTTGAAGAGAACCGAGACCACCGAGACCTGCCTTGCCGTGATCACATCGCGCCTGGTGTGCGAGGGCAGTGCGGCCAGCAGCATGGATATCCCTCGTTGCTCAACCCGCTTCCGGCAGGTCGGACTTGATGCGAAGCCTCATGAGGGGTGACGCGCTCAACCACTTCTCATATGCAGCAACTCCGCTTCTGCCACAGCCTGATCCCACCACTGTTGTGCACTACTGCTCAAGTCTGACATCAGCGGATGTGCCACCGTCAGCCAATCTCCAAACTGGATCGAAGCATCTCCACTACTCGGACTTGGTAATGCCGGAAGCCCAAAGACCTCACTGCATTTGGTATCGTCAGTCCGGTTGGCTCAGCCACAGGTCGATCAGCTGGAAGTGCAGGACATCGGTCTACCCCTCCACCACCACTCGATGGACCAAGGCCTCCAGGCTTCCTTGGCAAAGTTGGCCTCTGTTTCCTTGAGAATGCTCAGGCGAATCTTCTCAACCTCATTGGCCGCTGGACTGTGCTCAGGCATCTGGGGAGCACGGCCACCTGCTTCACTGGCACACTCCAGAAGGGATTCACCTGTGCCCCCGGTGAAGCACAGGGATCCAACACTCTTGGATGCACATCACCCCCAAGCACGTCGGACCCTTTTCTTGAGCCAAACATCGAGTTCAAAGGTACACTTCTTGATCTGTGCACTCTTCGAAACGAAATGAACGGGTGAGTGGACATCCACAAATTCAAATTGACGTTGGCACCAGACGCGAGGTTTCTTGACTAAGCTTGATTGGGAAGAGGATAGCTCTACCACAATTTTAACAGCATTTCCCCAACCTGTTCTTTTGGATCTATATAGTTTTCTAGACGCACGTGTCCTATATAGAGCCTCTTGCTTTAAGTTGCACTTGAGATGAATCAAGGCGCCCAAGTAGACACAGACCACCTGGAAAGACAATTGCAAGGGAGCCGGAAACCAAGCACGTAAGCACGTGTGACCTACCTGAAAAATTCAACAACAACACTAACAAAATAATCAAACGGCAACTCTATCAAAGCTATGTCGCTAGTAGGTGAAGGCCATCGCTAGCAGGTTGGAGGCCATCGCTTTTAGGAATGCTCATCAGCTCCACCCCGCCCACTTGCTTCCCAACCTCCAAACCCACAAGTGCCAATTCCAGAAAGCTCTTCGTGAAATCCCCTGTCTCAAGGGTCATTCAAGCAATGGAACATCAACGAGGTAAGCAAAAAAATACAGAAACTAAGGACCTCTTTAATATCCGGCGGCCCTTGCCTTTCTTTTGTATTTTCCGGTGTCTCTGGAGCTTAGCAAAAGATACCAGTACCGTCGAGGTCCTCAAACGCCTTGATCATCCACACGTGGCACCTTGGCAAAGCTGCTTCTTGAGCAACTATGGAAACCACAGAGCGCATCAGACGGAAGCGTTCAAAGTTGTTATTTGCAGGTATATATCTCGGTTGAATTGACTTTTTGCACTGATCGAGATAGACTCCAAGCTTTTGGCTCAAGAGTCCTGCTTGAGAGCCTACAGGCTTGCCCTAATGAGAGAACATTTCAGTCGAACTGAAAACATGTGCCTCAATTGTTGTTTTTAGACCAGAAACTAAAAACTCCTCGGCAACTAATAGTCTCTTCGATGCAGAACACGTGAATGCTGGTAGCAACCAGGTTTAGTCAGCAGCGATGGATGGGACCGGTGGCGGTCCAAAAGGCAAGGGCGGTTGCCCCAACGACGGACGAAAGGGGAAAGGAGGAGGCAAAGGAGGCCAAAGCGGAAGGAACTGGGAAGTGGATTTGGAACAGGACGTGTCCGGAGTTTAGAGTACTTGTTTGTTTCGGCCGTGGCTTGTCTATGGGAATGAAAAGCAGTCAGATGAAAATTGTGGTTTGGTGTGTTGTGCAATTGGACATGTGTCAACGAGGACAACCTCTCAGCAGAGCAGAAGGTGAAGTTCATGGGCTCAGAGTCATTGGATCGACAAAGAGGCTTGACTGAAGCACAACACACTTTCCATCGAAATCGGTGGCAAAGTCACATTTCTGCCAGTTTTCGTAACTAGTGAGGTATTGGTTGAGCAACGCCAATCATATTTTTGTGTTTATTATCAGTTTTGCAACTATCGGATGCCCCTGTGAATAAATTGGGGTTGTGCGCAGTGCGGAGGGGGGTTGATGTGAGGAGGGGCGAGGGCCAGATTCCTCTACACAATACCCCTGTTTGACTTACAGTCAGGCCAGTCCAAGAGAGGGAATTCGGAATGCAGCGCAACCGAACGAGCTCTGGCCTTTTGCGCGCACGACACCTTGAGCCAAATGTTACTGGTGCAGCCCTGTTAGTTAATGTGTAAACTTTTTACAAATCTCAACCTGTCTAACATTCAACTGACTTTTGACATTTGTTGGTTTGACCAGTTTTCTTAGGCCATGGAGAAGAGGCCTCAGCTTCGCTTAGCCATTCAGCGTCCATGCCCTCGCCGCCAATACGGCCACTGTCGATGAGCAATCTGAAAAAAGCGAAGACGGAGAGCTTTTTGGAAAGACCAAAGAGTCTCATGTTTTCGGAACTCGTGGAAGTCCGGGAGATTAGCCCTTGTCCTTCCAGCCCGGGAAGCCCAAGTTCTCCTTTGGCCATGGCACCAGTTATGGGATTTCCAGTGGATGATGACTGCTTGCATTGGCTGCAACAGCTGGATCAAGATACCATTGATACTTTGAGTGTGGACAGTCCCACATCGGAGGACCGGAATCGACCACATGTCACTCTTAGAACATGTTTGGAAGTTGAGATCCAACCATTCATCGGACAATTTCTTCATTTGCAATTCGTTTTCCTTCGGGCAATCAGAGTTTGTGTCTATCGACCTACATCCTCTACAAGATGTTCGATCCATATTCACAAATCAGGATTTTGGGCGCTGAAATTGACAAGAACATATGCAAACACATATGATGGAGGGCCCACGGTAAAGACAGACGTTGGCATGTTCTTTCAGTATCTTTCGGGTCACTCCAGAACTTCGGACTCGTGGCCAGGAAGTGGCTCGATTTGCCGTGGATGCTGCGCTTGAAAAACCTGTGTTGGGAAGTCAAGCAGGAGGGACCTTAGCTGCTTGGCGATTCGTTTTGGGTTGTTTGTGAGCTGGAAAGCTACTACTGTAGCTGTTGGGCACTCTTGTCTTAGCGAGGATCATTTGGCCGCTGCAGCTTCTTTCTTTTTTTTCCCTGTACTCTCCAGGTTGTTCCCAATCAACACAATGTTTTCATTTCAGTTCAGGTTGCGCAGCAACACATTCGCTCATCATTGCACCGTTCATTCTGCGCGACACTCCTATTTCACATCATTTTCATCCATTTTCTTTTCCACACGCACTCACTTTGCATTGTGTTTGAACCCCACCAAACCAATTGCCCGAGGTCTCCATGGACAGTGCTAGCCATTCCGCAGCCCACGACACCGAAGCGGCGCTCGTGGTGGATCGACCCGTTGCTAAGGTTTTGGCCCCTTGGCAAGGTCGGAGGGTGAGGAAGTCGTTGGATGCGGCGGAAACTACAACGATGGCCTCCAACCTAATAGCGATGACCTCCAACCTACGAGCGATGGCCTCCAACCAACTATGGGTTGGCGCATGGTGAGCAAAGATGAAGAACGTCGGATCTGCGGAGTGGTGGGGAGTCGTTTCTGGAAGGTGATTGTCCAAGTGAGCGTTGGTTAGTCAATCCTTCCTCAGAGGAAAGGAACCCCGTCGGGGAGTGGGATGCCGCAGAAACCTTGCCCTAGGAGTTGGCGAGATCCACTCTGGAAGTGGCAGTGCACAACGAATTGGCAAGTCAAGCGAAGGGTGGATGTCGTCGAGCGACCCCAGCTACTTGACCTTGATTTTGGTGCCATGGGGTTGCAGCGAGAGGATCATTTTAAATTGACCCCTGAGAGTTCTGGCCCAAGCCTACCAGTGGTTGAACTGTTTCCCGCAGAGTTGGGCATGGCGGCATCTGGATTCACGAAGCCAGTTTTGGGCTCTCCACTGGCGACCGTTTTGAGACGAGTCGAAGAGGACTCGGAAACCTTTCGGTTGCCGTTGCTTGGTGGCAGCGCACGCTGCTTGTGGATGCCGAGCGAAGGAGTGCTTTTTGCTGGCTATCACCTTGAGGTGACTTCGGTTTCGCCATTTGTCCTTTCAGCTAAGCCCGGTTCAGTTTTTCCTCTCCACCTTCCAGGTGATCGAATTGGAAAAGCAGTCGTCGATCTCTTCTCTGGATCGGGGGCCATGGGGGTGGCCTTAGAGGCCCTTGGATTTAAGGTGATGGTTTCTGTCGACTCCTGCTACCTGTGTTGTGATCACCTAGCCCAGAATGGAAGAGGGTATGTGATTCAAGGTGACGTTTGCTGCCCAACCACCATTTCAAGGGTCCATGAGATTTTGCACAATGCAAATATCAAAGACTTTGTCATGATTGGTGGCTTCCCGCGCCAGCCTTTTTCCTCCCAAGGGAGGATGATGGAAGAAGAGAACCCCAGGTTCAATGCCTTTCTCGGATTGATGAACGCCACTCGACAGTTGCAGCCCCGAGCTTTGTTGGTAGCGTGCGTACCCAATGCTGGACGAAACGCACTGATTCAAAGCCGCTTGGCCTCCCTATGCAAGGACATGCACTGGGGTCTTCGTCAATTGACATTTGCTTTGAAGGACCAGTGGCCAATGTCGAGAAATAGATGGTACTGCATCATGTCTGAAGAGTGTATGACGATCCTCTACAAGATCCTGAATTTTTCCACTTACGTTCAACATTGCTCACCTTCAGGAGAATGCTCAGGAAGAATGACGACATCATTTACCTCTGGAAGATTGCATTCAGGTGCCATGATGGGCGATTGTTACCCGGGCCGTTCAGCAAACTGCTGCAGCTCTTCAGCATCATTGGCTGGTCCGTTGGCTCTCCGCCCATGATCTATGACCACCTGGGCATTGCTTTCAATCTCAGTACTATTGATAAGGCTTGGCTCCTCATTCAACTCAAAGACGCTTGGTTCCAGGTTGTTGCAGCAAGAACCAGGCACAAGACCATGGAAGGGCTACATGGCCTGAATCAGTACTTGAGCAAGCTGGACCACTCCAAGCTGGACGGTCAACAACGAGCTCGGGTTTCAGCGCTCCAAAGCGGTGCTTTCCTCTCCAATGCAGAGCATGGGCGCTATGACAACAACAAGGACAAAGCCTGCGCAGTTTGCAATTGCACAGATGATAGACTGCGCTGGCACAAGTGCCCTCGCTTCGCTGAACTCAGAGCCTCGCAAGGTTTTAGAGCTGAAGATTTTGCGGAGTTACCTAAGTGCTTTGTCTACCACTTGTTGCCCCCTCAAATTGACCTTGAACGAATTTGGCGGGTTTGGTTAGCTAATCAACCGGACCAAGTCAAGAATTTCGACTCGGTTGAAACCACTGGGGACATACAGCATTTGTTCACCGATGGGGCTTGTTCCAAGTATCATCCAGTAGTTAGCCTTGCTTCGTGGGCTGTCATCAGTGCCAGCTCTGGACAGATCATTGCAACAGGGCCATTGGCAGGTCCCAAACAGACAGCTGCTAGGGCGGAAATCACAGGGCTTCTCTCCGCATTACATTGGAGTGTCCTAACAGACACGGATGTCTGTCTGTGGACTGATGCTCTTAATGCAGCCGAAACGTTGCAGGGTCTGATCAACACGCCGGACAACTTGTCGCCTGAGACAGATTCAGACCTTTGGCTTGAAGTCCAAGCTGTTCTTTGTTGCAGGGAGCACAGGATCACACGAGTGCGCTGGATCCCATCTCACTTAGAGCCTGCCAAACTCTGCAATTGTTTCGAGGACTGGATCTTTTTCTGGAACCGGAACCGAAGGGTCGATGAGATCGCCGTCCAGAGCAATCAGGAAAGGGACTCTTTCACGCTTGGCCTTCGGGATGCTCTTGTCAACAAGT